TGGCCCCCACCTCAACCAATTTTCCTAGCGATACTCAAGGCAATTTTTCTTTTCAATATATCATTACTCACATGCCACCCTATGGGCTATGGCGAATAATTATAGAGGAAATAATGAAATAAAGATAGAGACATTCAAAAAAAGTGTAGAGACCCACGACCCGCGCTAGTAAGGCAGGTGAAAGTAAGAGAAGTGAAAATCCAAACAAAACTAATGTGATGCCCATGGAGCTCTCTGTGATACAGGCAAAAGGAAACAAACCAGGTTAATCTCACTCCTCATGTGGGTATACGGGGACATCAAGCAAGTGACGTTCACATTATCTGCCCTAGAAGTAAACGTCTCCTGTCCCATTCATATTGGCATGACCTTCAGCCATTTCCCTCCCAGTCTCACTCTTCCCGGTGTTGGCTCAGCTTCAAGTATACCACAATTGAGTTGGTGAGTTCCCCCTCCTCTATGAGTGTCTCCTTCTTTCTCAGCCATCGAATCCCGATGATCTGTCCCAAGCCTCTGTTAGCAGTTTCCAGCCAATTGCGGGCATTCCCTAGATTCTTCCTTAAGGCTATTCCGTGTACACAATGCCGAATTGCTCCCTTCTCTGAGACTTCTCTGTGGTGGTGGCAGTGGGGGCGCTGATTGTAGGAGGAGAAGTGTCAGTGGTGTGAGAGAGATTGGTGGCGCTCGAATCTGCTTGTACTTCTCTTCCCTACCTGGCTGTCGCTTTCTTCCCTGCCCAAGATGCTGGGCGGCTGGGGGCCTGGGTGCATCTGGAGGGGGATGCTAGGTGGGATGGTACCAGACTCAGCAATATTCTTTGCCTCTCTGTCGCTCAGCTGTCTTTTGAATGCAATTCTGGACTGACGGAGCCTTGCCCTTACGCTTCCGGCTAGCCTCCGTTTTTGGTGTATGCGGGCTCTGAGGTGGGCTCGGGGGTGGCTCAACTGAGTGTACCACAGTAGAACTTGTTAATGCAGCTGATGTGGGCTCCGTAAAGTTGCTCTAGAAGTGGTTGCTCCGAATATAGGACTGTAATGGGGCTGGTTCCTAGTTTCTCTCTTATCTCAGGAGTAGGCTCGAGGGTAGGTTGCTCCGAGCACAGAACTGTGAATGAGCTTGTGAGCACCGGTGCTGGTGGTGTAGTGTTCTGAACGGCAAGCCAGTTTGGAAGGGGCCCTTCCGGCCCGCTTGCACGGACTACCGCGGAAGCATTCTCTTCCCACCTAAACACGAAAGTTGACCCTGAGGTTGGGAATGCTTTTCCTGAATTGCGCTTCTACAATGATGCCAGGACCATGGCCCATGTAAAGCTCACATTTTCCTTCATTTCCCTATAAACAACATCCCAGTCTAATATCTCGACCTCCGGAGGAGGGCTGGGGGCATGGGTGGGATCCTCTAGGGGTGGGGCGGGGGCTTCCGGAGGTTCTCATCTTCTTCTTCCCTCCTATTGGTTGAGTAGCTGGTGTTTGAGCACTCCTATTGGCTCTTGGCACTGGATTGATGTGCTGGCAACTGAGTAGAACACTGAAAGCTCCTCAGAGCTTCACCACAAGGGGAAAACTGAGACGAAGAGTATAATGGAATAAAATTTAGATCCAGAGACTCAGCGTGCTGAGAGCTTTCGATCTATGTATGTTTCGCTCGGGGAAACTTGGTGGTTGCGAAGTTCTTTCCAGATGCTCGTCCTGTCGAAGTATTTGTTGCCCGAAGCATGGGAGAGCAGAGCCGCCCGGGGGGGCTGAGCGTTGGCAGTGATCAGGGTCAAAGGACACGTATCCAAGAAATGTCCACCTGCCGCATGCGTTTATAAACATCGACCATGTAAGTTAGTCTTGTTGAATCGTATCATCGCAGAACGTGTGGGTTTCAATTGCTAATCTCAAGGCACAGCATGGCCTGCAGAAGGTTGAGAAAGGAAATCCGTGGTGGGATTGGCTTTTGCAGCATATCTGTGAATATTATATTAGGAATCTGCTATCAGATGATGTTAAATTGTGCACCAGCGAGCTATATGTAGCCCGTGGAAGTCCCTGAGTCTAGCGATCAGGCATCGGCGCCACATGTATCATAGATTGCACAGATCAATGGGCTAGTGCCCAGAACCTTCCGTCCCCTTTATTTCCTAGTCCAACGAGGCCGGCTGAATGCCACGTGCCCCCGCATGGCAACGTCAGTTGCTACTGTCACGCCTGTCCGTTGCTGACCCACCTGCAGTAAGATAGGAGATTCGGATGATCCTAGCATATAGAATGTAATTGACGCGCGTCTTGCACAAAAGCTAGGACCGTGGCCAAAAATAGACAAATTGCTAGTACTATCGCTAGAGTGAGGGAACGTAAGCTTAAGAGGGATATCCCCGCTCCCCGTATCTACCAAAGTCATAACGACTTTGCAATATTCCGGAGATGCAAGTAACAATAAGATGGATTTCTTTTGCTTTCGTTGCCCTCCTGGGCAGCATCTCTCTTTGCGCTGCGAGTCTCATCCCAGGGGATGCCGACATCTCTTCTGCTGCTGACATCATACCTGGAAAGTATATTATCACGCTCTCTCCAAAGGCCCCTCTTTCGCAGCACCTCCGCTCCATCTCCAAACGCGATACCTCGATCTTCATCACCCAAGACTTCAACATTGGCTCTTTCAAGGGCTATGCTGCCGATATTGCATTTCCTGCTGATGTTTCCCACCTTACATCGTTAGACGAAGTGCTTTCCGTTGAGCCGGACAGGGTGGTCCGTGTCATCGATGACTTCGCAGCCACAAAGACACTGGATAGGAGAGCCCTAGTTACGCAAACACCCATTAGCAATTGGGGACTTGGGAGAATCAGTCACGTGGCACGTGGGGCAACGAATTATATCTATGACGAGTCTGCAGGTGCCAACACCTGGGCGTACATCGTTGACACAGGAATTAATGATCAACATGTGCAGTTTGCTGTTGGCAGGGCAAGTCAGCCTGGATATGGTGGCACTGCAAGTGGTACAACTGCTGATGTAAGTACTCTTCGTATCGTATCATATCTGTGTATGTCTTCTTGCTAATACATCTTCGGTAATCCGAAAAGGGAAATGGCCATGGAACTGCGGTAGCAGGTATTATTGCGGGAACACGTGACGGTGTAGCCAAGAAAGCGTTTATCATTCCTGTGAAGGTTCTTGATGATCGCGGAGCTGGAACCGTGAGCTCTGTGATTGCTGGAACGCAGTGGGCGTTCAATCACGCATCCAGCAATGGAAGGCTATCGAAGTCCGTGCTGCACTTCAGTTTGGGTGGAGGCTACAGCGCAGCATTGAACAATGCAGTGACTTCTGCTGTCAACGGGGGCCTTATGGCAGTAGTGGCTGCTGGAAGCTCAAATGTAAGTCTTCTGCTGCTCCCCTTGAAAGCATCAAATGGATGCAGAGTCGAAAGGGATAATCAGGAGGACAAACCCGGCTAACAAATCATAGTCAAATGCTGCAAACTACTCACCCGCTTCTGCCGCAGGAGCTTTTGTCGTCGGTGCTTCTGCCAGCAACGACGTTAGAGCCTCGTTCAGCAACTACGGTTCCATAGTCAGCGTGTATGCTCCTGGGCAATCCATTACTACAACCTATATTGGAAGCAGTACGGCCACCATCACTCTCAATGGAACCACATGCTCTGCAGCATTTGTCAGTGGCGTGGCACTGTATTTAATGAGATTGTTCCCAGAGTTGACTACTCCAGCTGCTGTAGCTGCGAAAGTCCTGGACTTGTGCACACCAGCGGGGTCATTATGTATCTTGTATAACGGGAGTGGGTATTAACGGACGTTTGCGTTCTCTGTGCCTAGATTCTGGCGTTGCGGTGATCACGCCAGTGTTTCGTGTTTAATATGTGGCACTTGGGCGCAGTGATGGTGATGCGGGCTTGATGATGTAGTTGTAACTTGAGACCAGCGGCTGGACGAGAGTGGCTTGAGAATCTTGTTGTGCATGTATGGCAGTCAGTTCTTGTAAGTATCCTGCACTGGCAGTTGGGGAGAAATTAAGCGGGATCAGGTTGGACCAAGAGGAAGAGGGAGAAGAAACGCTTACTTATACCCTCACACAAGTTTCATATGAGGCGAGCTCGCCAAGCCCGACAATTACTGCTTCCTAATAAGGCCTTTGCTAGGCGTCTGGAACTTAGGTAGCCTCATGCCTAGTCTGGTTACCTCATGCCAAGTATACCTTTAGCCTCGTACCCCGTATACCTCTGGCAGTTTTTTAAATTTATTATTTTTAAAAAAAAAATAATTACTCATACGCCGCCCTGAGGACTATGATACAAAAGAAGATATAAAGATAAAACCCTGTTGCAGGGAGTATCAAAAGACAAAACCAAAGTCATGTATAGCCCACGAGCTCCCATGATAATAGTAGGCAGAAGCAGGCCGCATAAGGACAACAAATTGATTTGGGAGCCCAGGTACGCAGAATTCACATACCCTTTGTGATGGTCTGTCCCACTCGTACCGACAGGATCTCAGCCATTCCTCTCCCAATCTCACTATTTGTTGCTAGCACTGCGTGCCCTTCCAAGTACACCACAGGGCTAGTGGATTTCCCCTCCTCCATGAGTATTTCCTTCTCAACCAAACTCTAGTGATCTGCCCTAAATCCCTGTTAGCAGCTTTCAGCTAATTTCGGACGTTCCCTAGTTTCTTAAAGCTATTTCATGTACTACAATGCCAAAATGCTTCTTCGTCTAAGGTACTCTGGCAGTTCCTCAACTTAAACAATGCTTACATACTGGGCTAGATTTCTAGATGTTTGTCGTTGGCCATATCATACTAGGTTCTTCTGGGCTATATCTTACAATTACTCAGGTACAGGAGAGCCACAGATAAGACACAAGCTTTCTGATTCCCTCAAAGTGTACGGCAAGTCTGTAGACTTTCTTTACAAATGGCACATTCAAATGGGACGTCGTGGCCAAGTGGTTAAGGGGAGTCATCAAATTAGCTATAAACGGCAAGAGTACTAAAATGAGACGTCGTGCCCGAGTGGTTAAGGGGAGTGATTAGAATAACTACAAGTGTTCTTCTTGTAACTCAACAATCACTTACGCTCTGCGTGCGCAAGTTCGAGTCTTGTCGACGTCGATATTTCTTTTATCCCATGTGTTCGATTTTTATGTATGGTCTTGTAACTATTTTAGTGCCAATTTTTGTGGACATAATAAGGCAGCAATCTTAATTGCAAGACCTGTACTACAGTACAACACATCCGTTCTTAAAATCTATAAATCCTCTTGTCAATGCGGGGGATTTCGCTTTTTTTCTCTTGAAAAAGTATCTCGCTTTTAGGGAGCAATACCTGGCCAAAGTTAAAGTGCTAAAGAGCATTTGTTAAATAACTCTAGTCATCACGTGCACAATCCAGATTAGGAACTGGCCTGTAGTCTCATTACATCTCGATCGACGTGCCTACTGTACTTTATGAGAACCTGAATGCTTGCTCGAGTATGTGTACCTCAGTCTTGGCCCGACTCTCACCTGGCAATGTGCTACATACAGATCATGCTATTGCAAAAGAAAGCATCATATTCATCAGTGGCAGAAATCGTTGTAAACGAAATGGTGCACCTGTGACAATGAGCAGTCTTATTCTCTGTATCGGCACTGGGTGGTTTATATCAATAAGCGATGGCGTCCCCGCGGTGATAATAACTTCTTTACCGAGAATTATCTCACTAAAACAAGCTTGCCTAACTGTTCAAAAAATGTCGATAGCACAGATGCGACGGTCACAGTCACAGCGTCATATAGGCTTCGATCTTGAGCTTGTAAACCTTTCCACAAGAGTCGCTTAACAGACTTTTAACCTTGACTTTGGGCTTGCAGAAGTTAGTAATGCTCCGCTATATCTTCCAGAGATTGTTTAAAGAATCGAATCGCAGTTGGGAATCCGTGGTCATGATCAGGAATGTTCGTACGTGTTTCTCGCTTCACCTGCTGCTGTTGTGTTTTATTTTGGCTTGAGGAACATAATTTCGTTTGAAAGTCTTGACTGAGTGCGATACTTGGGTGACCCAGAGATAGGAAGGTTGACTTCATGAAACATTAACCTAGAAATCTAAGTAGCTGCGTCTCACCTGGCTGCACTGCACCAGCTCATAAAGTGAAGTTTCAGTTCTTCAGCAACAAATCCCACTCTAATCAGCAATCATCTTTCACTCAACAAATCTGTTCTGTTCCGTGTCCAGCTTCATAGCTAAATATAGACTGACACTGGACGTGATTCAGCTTGAAATATATTGATCGCAAGTACAGCCCCTCTGCTTCAAGACTGCTTGCTGTGAGAGGCATTCAGCGCTCCAGATGCTAGGACTTCAAGCTTCCCTCTGCGTACCCGGTCAAAGCTGACTGAAAACGGATTTTCCATTTAGCCAATCTACCATTGAGGCCTATACACTCACTTACATCCGTAATCGACATTTATATTGTTTACAGTCATTTCGCAACAGTTCAATAAGTTCGAGAGACTTAAGTCCTCCTCATAGACGAGACCCTGGTGGTAATGCGGTTGGTGATGGCAATGACCACAAACTGCGGCTAACATTCTGTTTTTTTATCAATAGGTTTTTCATTGCCATATCAAACAACTTATTAATTCGTTGTTGAAATAAGTTGTGGGAATCTGGGCATATTCTCAGAGGGTAACCTTGAAAGAGTGAACCAATATTGCATTGATCTCAGTCTTGCCTCCTCCAATCACCTTGCGGTCAAAGAGCCCTTGGCCTGATTCTGAGAAAAAGGCCTTCAGTTGAGGAACCACCCGGAATACCCAAAGAAGCATCGATTCAGATTTAACACCTATGTCAGCGTCGATAAATTACCATAAGCTCCACCGTCCTACATGGACTCCAGACCCCCACAGCTGCGGCGTCAGTTCCTGCAACACAAAGATGAGCTCGAATGCCGCTCGGGAAAGATGCTTCGGCAAACATGAGCTGGTGTGTGCTGGGTACCACACCAGACTGATTAGGATCACTAGCAAAATCAATTCTCCTGAATTGGCAAGCACTGTGTGTGAAGCTTGTCTGGCGGAAATCGCTGCACGCAACAGCCGACAAAAGGATATCGACGAAGCGATCAGGGCCCTCGAAATGCTGATGAGCCTGATGGATTCTCCTACAAAACACATTGAAAGACAAAGCAGATACATCGCCGACCTCAAAATCTGGTTTGAGGGGATGGAGAAGCGTGCCAAAGCTGAGCAGGTTAAGCGCAGGATTGGACATCAGGGCTGGATTCTGTCTACATCACCAGTTGGCAGCCGCGGATTATCCGCCCAGGAAAGGCAAGAACTCGGCGAAGCTATGTGTATTTTGGACACACCCCTTAAACCCAAACCGACGGGGTTTTCAATCGAAGATGTCAAGTCTCTCTTCTTCGATACGGATTCCACAGTTTCCCCAATTTTGCCCCTCACAAAGAAGTCGCCTAGGCAGCAATGGATAGAAGCGCAACAGAGGAAAGCTAAAAGGGAAAATAAGGAGAATAAAAGGCACAAAAGGTGAGGGATGCATATTAACTCAGTAATCACCAGATTGCTTATATGCATGGAATGATGGAGGTGTTTGTGTTTTCGCAAGAGATATATGAGTGTTGTGCAGTTGGGGTAATGTTCGGGAAATGATCTACTTCAATCTATATCAAATGAATCTAGAAGAGATGCTTCTGGGAAGGTTAGTTCTCACGGCGAAGACAAGATTTTTGTTCAACCTGCTGTGCAGGAATTTTTCATCTTGGACTCCTTGCTGATGTGTAGTTATAAAACAAATTCTCCGTTTTTCCTTCCACTTGGCTTACTTAGCAGCTTGCTTTGAGGCTGCAGTTTGTTGTGATGTGGGTTGTTCTTCGCTCAGGGTAACAAGTAGAATAGTTGGCTGATTAAGCAACGGTCAAGAAAGGAGTCCCAACAGTAAGTTGTTCTTGTTGTAAACGAGTCCTCTGTTTCGCCTGTTCGGAGTGCAGATCACTACTCCCAGGTTGCCCACTTATAACCATAGGCTGACCATTCACTTGGTTCGACGTCGGTTGTTCTGACGGGAAGTATAAAACTCGCGTTCCGTATACGTAGAGAAATTTATTAATATCGTGGCTGCGCCGAGGAGCAGAGAATGTAACCTGTTGCAATTCGTCCTGAACGCTCCTACGTTTCCTGGACACATTAAGCCTTTTTTTTCTTTTTTCTTTTCTTTTTTTTTTTTTTTTTTTTTGGGGGGGGGGGTTCACATAACCCCGCATACAGGCTACTAGCCTATGGCAGGGAACATTAAGCCTTAGTAGGACTACAAACCCCGCAGTGGCCTCATAATGGCCGTTCTGACTCTTGCACGTTTTATCTTTTACCTCCAGCGGCTAATGAAGACTTTTGCTAACACGTAAGCTTATACTTCTAACTCCTGGTCCGAGCCCGGTCCGCTTTCGCTTAGGCTCGGCCGGCACGCTGAGTCTAAGTATGGACATTTCAGAGTCACGTACTCTGTATCTATTAGGAGCGTGCCATGCCACTGTCAGCTCAGTGGGCTTCGCAAGCTGCCACAAGCGAGGCCAAGATCACCAGTTCCACATTCATCAGCATGCCAGTGTCGTTTTTTTCTTTTTTTTTTCGTCGGCCACGTAACCTCGTATACAGGCTACAGGCCTATGTTAGGGACCCATATCCCCGGGTCAAGTTCAGCAGCTACCTGTCTACTCTACGTACACAAACTGGGTACCTAACGTAGCCTCTGGCCGCGCAGCTAGCCCAGATCGAGGGTTAGCTCACCAGTGCACCTTGACATAACGTATTACTGATTATGGGTATTAGCCAGCTCAAGGCTGCTGGGACCCGAGGCCGGGAGTTTCATTGTGCAGCAAATTTGCGCGTTGAAGAGCAGCGATATATAACCCGATTGTGCACGGTTATGGAGAGCGTCGACTAGAGACCGACCTGAGTTCGGAACAAGAATGGTACTGTATTTCACCGCCAAGCGAACCACACCACCAAACGAACTACTTTTCCCACCAAAGCAGGACCACCGGCAGAGCATGTATCTCCTCCATCACCGTCGATTTTTGTGTTCAATGTCTAAGAAGGCTAGAATAAGATCCATCTTTTATATACCGCACCTCTAATCACCAAATACCGTTATCGTTAAGGAATTAAGGCCCTGCACATTATGCATGCTTTCTTCGCATACATTTCTACCACAGTACAATTCCGGTCCAAGAGCTTCAATAAAACTGATAAAAATATCAAGATGCTTTCTTTAATCAGGCATCACTGTATATGAAAGTGGAAAAAGACAGACAAAGTGATACTTACAGGCGCTTGGAAGATCCTTCACAATATCCAAGTGCTCATATGAACAATCTGTCTGTGAAGAACCCCCAGATTTAGGTATTGATATACTGACAATGCAATTGCTCAACTTGAACAGAGAAAAGTTCTGCGTATCATTTCACTTACAGGTAAGCTCTAAGAATACAATTTCAAGGCCATTAGCAATGACTTACAGGATGGCATCACAATCGAGAACTTATGAGCATTTTGTATGAGAATGCCATCTAAACGAATGTGAAGACTTTGTGTAAAAATGTGATGACACCTAATTCCCCAAAAGTTCTAGCGAAAGAAACATTCTGAGTACGAGAATAGATTTATAGTATTTAGGACACTTGTAAACTATATGGAAAACTCTTTTGTTGCGGTGGAGATATAGGCTCTGTCGGTCGTCCTGTTTTAGTGGGACAATTGGTTCGCTGGCGGTGTGGTTCGCTTTGGCGGTGAAATACATTGCATGAAAGTTATGCACTCACACAGTCCGCACTACCAGACAGAAAAATAAGTATTTAGATAGAGAATAAATACATATTTATATGTTATATAAGTATTTGGCAGAAACTAGCATATTCTTATATACTTGATAGTAAAAAATAGATATAAAAGTTCAAATTTATTATATTAGCTATTCAAATTTTATTATATTAGTTGTTTAAATACTTTCTTATATAATGAATTTAGATACTTTAATATAAAATTTATAACTATTACTAGTTAAGTATATAAAAATATACTAGTTTCTGTTAAATACTATATAATATAATTTCTT